TCAGCCATAAGAAGAAAACAAATCCTACCATTTGCAACAACATGGATGGAGCTAGAGGGTATTATGCTCAGTGAAATAAGCCAGGCGGAGAAAGACAAATACCAAATGATTTCACTCATATATGGAGTATAAGAACAAAGAAAAAATGGAGGAAAAAAAAAACAGCAGCAACACAGAATCCAAGAATGGATTAACAGTTACCAAAGGGAAAGGGGCTGGGGAGGATGGGTGGGAAGGGAGGGATAAGGGGGGAGGAAGAAAGGGGGGTATTACGAATAGTATGCATAATGTGGGGGGGGGCATGAAAGGTCTGTGCAAATCAGAGAAGACAAATAGTGATTCTACAGTATGTTACTATTCTGATGGACAGTGACTGTATGGGGTTTGTGGGGGGGACTTGGTGATGGGGGTCTAGTAAACATAATGTTCCTCATGTAACTGTAGATTAATTATACCAAAAAAATAGAAAAAGACATAATGTCTGAAAATTGTTCTCAAGTAGTTTAGAAAAATAATAATGTTTCTCTCTCCTATAAGTATATACATAAAAATTAATAAATAAATAGAATCAGGGTCTCAGCATTTATAACTTTTAGTCAACTGCACAGTATTTTGTTTGTTTTTAAAATCTTTTTTTTTTTTGAAATAGAGTAAATGATTCATGTAAAGTTGCTTTCTTAAAGAGAGAAAATGTGCAGGCGACCTCAAGGAAGAGAGGCGCCTTGAAAGGTATAAGTTTTATTTGAAGAGAGAAAGTGCACACTCAGAGAAAGGGGAGTGTGGGCTACTTTGGGGACAGGGGCATGCTGAAACATTTTCAAAAATTAAAAAGTGCGGGTGACCTCAGAGATGGAAGCCGATATTTTTTATCTTTTAAAAAATCTTTTTCTCTTTTATACTTCTGAACACAAAGCCACTATGAAAAGCCACAGCTGTCCCAGGGTTTAGTGGGTGAAAACGCATTCACGCGAATGGACCCTGATGCAGCTGTCCCAACTCCTGGAAATGTTTTCTGTGTGCAAGGGTGAAAAGCTGTCCTTTCCAGCATGTTTGCAGTAGCTCCAAACTTGAAACAACCTAAATGTCCCTCAACAGGGAAATGATTAGCTAAGTAATAGTATATCAATATTATGGAATAATATGCAGCTATTAAAGGAGTGAAAGAGACAAGGTGCCAACATAGAAATACATTTATAATATATGGTAAAGCAGGGAAAGAACAATGAAGTAGTGGTGGAATAAACAGTAAATCAATCTCTCTCATACAATCCTATTTCTTTAAAAGTATCTAGTTTTTCCCTCTCTGGAATGCTCTTTCCCTAGATCTTCACCTCTCCAGCTCATTCACATTCAACTCAGATACGGTGTTCTCAGCTCAGAGACCTCTCCTAGCCACCCTGGCCCTCCACCAACCCACGTCACTCTCTACTTTCTTACCTAGTTTTATTTGTTGACAGCACTTACACAATCTGAAATTTCTACTGGTTCCCATGCTTACTGTCCTTCTCTTCCTACCAGAAAATTAATCCCATCAGACTGTGCATCATTGCCTGGCATGGATAAAGTGCTCAGTAAACTTTGGGAGAGAAAGAGACACATGCATCATAAAACTTTTAGAAATGTGGACAGTTAAATATTAAACAGTTAATCGAAGGTGTATTAATGGAGTGGGATTGGATGTGGAGAGGAGAGCAGCTGGGAGAAGAAAGTGCAATTTTGTACTTATACTATTATATTTGGGTTTTCCTACAATAAGCAAATTGCTTTTTTCAAAAACTTTTTAATGAGGTGAAATTTATATAACATAAAATTAACCACTTTAAAGTGAACAAGTCAGTGGTATTTAGTGTAATCACAATGTTTGTGCAGCTACCACTTTAATCTAGTTCCCAAACATTTCCCCTGTGGCATAAGGGTGCCCATAATCATTCTGTGAATGCTTCCCATTCCCATGGGAACATGCTCCCCTTTCTCCTATCCTCCCTGTCCCCATAACCACCATCTCATTTCTATCTCTAGGATTCACCCATTCTAGGCATTTCATACTAATGGAATCATACAATAGATAATCTTTTGTGTTTGGCTGCCCTCACCAGCATCATATTTTCACAGTTCATTCATGTTGTAGCAGGTGTCAGAGCTTCATTCCTTTTTATGGCCAAATAATATTCCAGTGTATGGCTGTACCACTTCTTATTCATCCATTCTTCCATTGATGAACAACTTGCTTTTGCAACTTAAATACATTAAAAATAAAAGAAAGGATAAACAGGTGAATCACAGTAAGGTATATAGTCTACTTACTTGTATCAGGGCAATGTCAATTTTCTGGTATTGATAGTGTATTATAGTTACATAAGATGTTACCAGTGTGGAAAGTGGGGTGATGGGGGACCTCTTATAATAGTTTTGCAATTTTTGGGGATTCTGTAATAGTTTCCAACTAAAAGTTAGAAAGTTAAAAATGCTCATACCAACAAAAAAGGCAAGTTTTCTGAACAAGTAAAGCCCACTTGTAATTAAACAGACTTTAGCCTTGATTCCTACATCTTTATTGAAGGTTTTTTCTGCCTTCCTTAATTAAATTTGTTTGGGCCATGGGTAGCCCTGGGGAAAGAGGGTCTTCTTTTCACTTTGAGAATTTTATAAATATAGAACAGTATCAAGAATCACAAACACATACCTATGTAGAATCCCCAGATTGTCAATTGTTAACATCTGATCACCTTGTTTTATGTTTTAAGATCAGAAATAAAACAATTTTAATACGTATGTTGCCTTTTTTACTTCCATCCCAGTCAAATTCTACCCTCCCCAAAAGGCTATCAAGTATGAAATGTGATCCATCTAATCTATTTAAAAACATTCACATATACAACATATAAATGAATGAAAATCACCATAGTGTTTTAAAATTGATATATACTACATAAAACATGCTTTTCACATCATGTGTTTGTCTCTTAACTGTGACAGAGTAACTCCATCAATATTTATACCTGTTCTTTATTCATCCATTTCCCTTTTAGGCTTTTAGGTTATTTCCAAATTTTTGTTATACCCACAGTACTTGTACAAGTGTCTGGATACTGTCAGAAGCAAGTTACAGAAATTTAACTGGATTTAACCAGAATAAGTGTATTATCTTACATAACCATGTTAAAAAACAAAATTCAAGTGAATAAATTTTAAAGACCTAATTGGCGCTATTCAACAATTCATGAATTGGGCAGCATCCAGTGGAGCAGATAGAAAGGAGCTCTGGGGAGTTAAACCAAATGAAGGACTTTTATGGACAGAAGGGAGCAAGAATAAAGCAGTTACACTAGGAACAGGTGTGTTGGTGTGGCAAGGTTTATGCCCTGAGGATGGCAGGGGTCTATCAGGCAGGGTATATCACTAGTGTTGGCCAGGTGAGTCCTGACTGACTGGTTTCAGATCACAGTTCTGGGGGAGCTAAAATTGTAACTAAGTCTCAGTTTGGTTATGTGGGGCTAAGCATAAATTACTCCACTTTGGGCCTATTGTCCTGTTTCTAACAACTATAAACCCTCAGGTAAGACTGACTTGAATCCCTTGCATAGGGAGCTTAATGACCTCAAGGGCTTACATCTTTTAATCTGTCTGCTACCCTGCGTCTTGGCTTCATCCTCAGGCTGGTTCCCAGATGGCTAGAGTCCTAGATGTTAAGTACGGGGAAGCAAGGGAGTGCATCTCATCCTGCAGCTGTCTTCTAGGATCAGGAAACTTTTCTCAGAAGCCCACCAGGAGCTGTCTCCCCCCATGTCATTGGCCTGAATTGGGTCACATACCCAATTTTGAAAAGGAGATCTCTCTCTCCTTATTGTGGTAAAATACACATAACATCTTATTGTTTTCCTCATCGGCTGTACCATTACACATTCTCACTAGCAACATTATTACCCATTTCGCACAAGCATTCTGAATTCTCCACATCCTCTCCAGCACTTGTTATTTCCTGTTTTGTTTGTTTTTAGTAATAGCCATCCTAATGGATGTGAAGTGGTATCTCCCTATGCAAAGGGGATCTCCTAAACCAGTGGTTTACACTGCTGGTTGTACATTAAAATCACCCCAGGAAATTTTACACCTAATGCACTTCTAGACTCTGATTTAACGGGCATTGGTTAGGACCTAGGCATTGATACTTTTTAAATACACCCCAGGCCAAGCTTGAGAACCACTAGCCAGAGACAAATCTTCCAGCAAAAAATGGATGTTGGAGAATCAATTGCAGCATTGAATACTACTCAGAAGTAAAATTCCTGAGTTCTCAGTTGGGTTTCTGTGCTTACTTTGTAGAGCCAAGTCCGAATTATTCCTAGAAATTTAGAACCAGAAGTAAGTAGCCTGCTAACCCAGGTAACCATCAGGGACAGAAAATACACTGCTTGCTGCTTAAGTTCCTCACACAGCAAACTTTTTTTTTGTCTGAATTGGCAACAAACACTGTGCTAAGCTAACTGGCTCTGCACTTTGGCCAGACTTTATCATTTCATGTGGTTTGTTTGTTTTTAACAGCTTTATTGAGATTTAATTCACATGTCCCACAATTTACCCACTTAAAGCATCCAGCTCAATGGTTTTTAGTATAGTTGTTGTGGAACTGTCACCAAATTCCATGGCATTTCTTTCTTTCTGTCTTTCTTTTTTTTTTTTAGTCTTCACTAACAGAAATGCAATTTGGAACAAAAGGATGCAAAAGCTGACATCGAGTGGAACAGAAACAGGAATGAGGAGTCTTGATGAGACACAAAATACACACACAATTCTTCACAAAGAATAATGCACTGTGCAAGATAAAATAACAGCAATGGAAGACTGAATCTACAGCTGATGACGGTGATGACATTGTTACAACTCAGTGATGCCAACCTGAACACAACATTGAGCCTGAGAGATCTCCTGACGAGTCAGTCACCCAGTCCTTCTGCTGAAATTGGCTTCCTCCCCAGCTCCCTGTGTGTTTAACCACCTTTTCAATGAACTGTTGCGAAAACCAGTTGTTCCAGTTTCCCCAGGAATGAGACGCTTCTGTGAGTAAATCTTCTGCGTCACTTTGCGCCCTCATTTTCCAACACCATCCATCCACCAGGAGGAAATGCTCATATATTGAGATTTTAGCAATGTAGTCTGGGGGCCTTTTCTGGCTAAAATCCAGGAGGTTTAAGGGTCGCTGACCCATCCCCACCTCCCGGGTGTCCCCATAAATGTTTTTTTACCCCCAAATAGAATGGAGCTCCTGGGACTAGCCTCAAAGCTCCATGTCCTTGGCCAGCACAGCCCAGCCCTGTTCCCTGGATTAGTAGAGCTGGGCCATTAAAAGGTGTCAAAATGGGAGCAGCCTCCAGGTTCCTTTGGCTTATTGATTTACATTTGAAATGGCTGCCTAATTGCTAATGATTATCTCACTGCATTATTTCTGAGGTATTAACATATTGCTTATTATGATTTTACACAGTCTTAGGTGTAAACCTGGTAACTTTCAATCCAGGGTCCTGGCACAGATTCACAGAGGCCTTATTGGGGAAGGTGTGTTGTGGGTGGGCAAAGGAAAACTCCAGCTAGGTTCAGTAGTTTTAAGCTGCACAGCTAACCTATTAAATAATGTATATATTACACAAATGTGTAATAACAACAACTATAAGTTATTAATGAACTATCATATTTTTAAATATTATTTTTTTTATTTTTTAAAAATTGAAATATACCTTGCAAAATTTACTTTATCAATTTTTTATTGTACAATTCAGTGGCATTAAGGACATCCACGTTGCTCTGCAAGCATCACCACCATCCATCTCCAGCACTTTTTCATCATCCCAAACTGAAACTTTGTAAACAGTAACTCCCCATTCTTCTTTCCCGAACCAGCCCCTGGTAAGCTCTATTTAATTTTCTTTATCTATTAATTTGCCTATTCTAGGTACAGGCATAGAAATGGAAACACAGTATTTGTCCTTTTGTGTCTGGCTAATTTGTCTTAACATATTTTTAAGCATGTTGTAGACTATATTAGAAGGAAATAAGGCTGAATAATATTCCAAAGAATGTATATACAGCCTTTTATTTATTCATCTGGGCATGGATACTTGATGATTTCCTTTTTTTTTTTTTGCTATTGTGAATAATGCTGCTATGAACATTGGTGTACAAAATATCTATTTGTGTCCCTGCATTCAAATCTTTTGGATATATGCCCAGATGTGGAGTTGCTAGGTCAAATGGTCATTATCTTTAATGTAACTTCAAAATATATTTATCTTTAATGCTACTGCAATCCTAAAGGTCTGCATGTATTACCTCCATTGTCAAGGGGAGAAAGCAGAGTTCAGAAACATTGTATGCCTTGAACCAAGGTCAGACTGTAAAGCCAGGGCTCATTCTCCACACCCACACACAATTCTAACATCACACTGGTGTATCTTGCATAGGAACTCAATCAGAAATTGCATAAGCCAGCCTTGTAAAGAACGTCTTTAAACAAATAAACTGTTTTCTGATTCATTGGATAAAAAACAAACCTCTGGTTTAAAAATGTCAGTGAATATATCAGGACAGCTGAATATTCTAAAAATGTCACTGATTCAAACTATGTCACTATCTACTTCCGAAGATGATTGGAAGCATTTTATAATAAAGTTGCAGAGACAGTAACGCCAATAGACATAAATTAGAGAAAAGCAGAAACCAAGGATAAAAAAGGGAAAAGGATATCCAGATTTGTTGATTGAAGAAGGCTATGTGGACTGATAGTTATATTTAACTCTTAAGTTCCTGAGCACACAGGGAAAAGAGAAACAGTGGATTATGTACCTCTCTTTGGCAGCAGAGTATACAATAGTTCATTCGGTCCTTCATTCATTTTATTTCAATTTATTGTGAGGCTACTCAGGGCCAACACACTTTTTCCTGATCCTGAAGTCATTTCCTGGAGGTTGATGTTAGCCTAACCAACACAACACAACCTACAATGTTGCTGTTATACTTTCCCTTCCTGACCTCTGACCTCCCCACATGTGATTGGTCTCCATTATTGATATCACCTTGGTTGAGGTCATGACAAGCATTGGAGCCTGCTCAAGCAAGCAGATGAGACATTTACCAGTGTATGGTTCTACATAAGCCTAATATGCAGTTTTCAGAACATGAGTGACATTAGAAATTGTCCCTATGCTCAGTTCCTTTCTCTGTAATTATTCTTGCATCATCGATTCACCCACAGCTGTCTAGTTCTCTCCCTTCTGTCATGGGACTTCCTCCACAGAGAGCACTAATATTCTGAGAAATAGTAAAAGATGGAAAAGGAGCTTGCACTAAGAATTGCTGATTACCTTTTGGAGCTTGGTTTCCACCCCATCTACTCTTTTCTTAATTTTTTATTCTAGAAGAGGGAGGGAAAGAGGGCATGATGTTAGCTGTATATATAACATTTTATTTATTTAGTTTGTTAGTTTAAAAGGGACGTGGTGCAAATATTGCAGAATATTTTCATTTTTTAACTCTAACTGATGGATATATAGATGTCTCCTAAGTTATTTCTCTGCCATTTTTGTGTTTGAAATACTTCATAGTTTTTAATTCGTATTTGCATAACAATAGAAATCTATGCAAGGCATTTTTTTAGATGCTAATGGTTATGTTGTTTGATTTTTTCAGTTTTATTGATGTATAATTGACAAAACTAATATATTCAAAGTGTACAATGTAATGATTTGATACACATATATAATTTTGAAATGATTACCACAATCAAGTTAATTAATACATTGATCACATCACAGTTACCTTTTTCTTTTGGTTTGTTTCCAGTGAAAAAGCTCTATGTAAAGTTTAAGGGTAGGGCAGAGCAGGGAATACTTACCTTTTTAGGGGAATATCTGTGAAGGCTTCTCTAAGGAGATGACCCCTTAGCTGGGTTCTGAAAGGTGGATAGGAGTTCACCAGAGGAAATGATGCTCAATATTAACTCTGCATAAAATGCATGTTCAATTTCTAGAGACAATGGAATAAGATTTTACTTATTTAAAATGACCTAATTATTGAAGATAGCAGAATATGGCACCCCAAAATATGCCATCTTGGCATAAGGATTATTTTGAAATGAAAGCAATTGATAAAGAGCATATACAGGAAAATCTCTGTGTCCTTTGCCTATTTGCATAAAAGTAGGACATAAACTTGTAAGGGTGTCTTCCCTCCTCTCACTTCAGGAAAAAGTTAATCACTGGAGACAACTTCAGACCCTTATCAGCACCAGAGGAATCTACATAACAAACCTGCTAAAAACTAGTCCTTATCTACCCTGAATTTCCACATATATTTACATTTAGCATTTCTCAGTTACAGAGGTACACAGAGTGACAGAAGTTTCAGGCATCCAAGGTGCACAGTCACGGCAGAGCTGAAGCAAGGCCTTGTTTCGGCTCCCATGTTATAAGCAATTGTCCTTCTCTGGAAAAGAGGGGTACAAACTATCTGAAATTGTCCCACATCTCTGTGGCTTCCTGTTTAGTGTAACTCATTTCTGAGCATTAGGAGTATAAATGCTCTGAAGGTGGCTTCCACATTCTGTGCCATCTCCCAGCAGGCACATAGTCAGTTGTGTGGCATTGATGGAACGCAATGACTGGGAAAGTCAGGTGGCTGGTACTCAGGAGGGAGGGTCAAGAGCTGGGAGAGCCCATTGACTGGATTCTGGGAAGTGTGAGCAGATGGGAGCAGAAGAGATGATGTAAGCCTGGCAGCTAGCAGGCAGAGAATCCAGGCCTGGGTGGTGTGGGACTAATCCAGAAATTTTCCATGCTGTTCTGATGACATGGACTGGGACAGATGCTTACATGCATGGACTTCTGAGTATTTACTAAGACAGCCAGAATGTATTCTGGGGGTAGGCCAGTCAGCAATCAACCAATGGCATCCACTGAGTGGGCTGCTTTCATGACTCAGATGCTGTGTTTAGCTTTTGGTTTACGTATCTCTTAATCCACATGGATGCTCTGTAGGATGGGATTATCCCCTCAAACAAGTGAAATTACTGGTGCAGGATCTCAGAGCTATCCAGTGGCAGAAACAGAATCCACCCCATGGCACTCTGATTCCAGACCAGGACTCCTTAACCACCACAACTGCTTCTCAGCTCCAGTCTTTCTTTTTTTCGGGGTTTGTTATATCTGTGCTTGCCATCTGTACTATAATTTGGTTCATGTTTTTCTTTAAAATAATATCCTTTTTTCACCAAATTTATTTTAAAAGGAAGCTTTATTACTACTGTAAATGGAAAACAAGTGTCCCTTACCACAGAAAGAAGATAATTTTGAAAATACACACAAAGGAGATGCAATGTTATTACATTTTGGCCAGATATTATTGCCTGCTGGAGGTCCACTCACTCTTGGTTCACATTTAGCATTTCTCAGTTACAGAGGTACACAGAGTGACAGAAGTTTCAGGCATCCAAGGTGCACAGTCACGGCAGAGCTGAAGCAAGGCCTTGTTTCGGCTCCCATGTTATAAGCAATTGTCCTTCTCTGGAAAAGAGGGGTACAAACTATCTGAAATTTTCCATGCTGTGAGCAAGCCTTGAGACATGTTAAAAACAGAACTCAGGGAACCCTCCTACACTGCTGGTGGAAATGTAAATTAGTTCAACCATTGTGGAAAGCAGTATGGAGGTTCCTCAAAAAACTCAAAATAGAAATACCATTTGACCCAGGAATTCCACTTCTAGGAATTTACCCTAAGATTGCAGCACCCCAGTTTGAAAAAGACACATGCACCCCTATATTTATCACAGCACTATTTACAATAGCCAAGAAATGGAAGCAACCTAAGTATCCATCAGTAGATGAATGGATAAAGAAGATGTGGTACATATACACAATGGAATATTATTCAGCCATAATAAGAAAACAAATCCTACCATTTGCAACAACATGGATGGAGCTAAAGGGTATTATGCTCAGTGAAATAAGCCAGGTGGAGAAAGACAAGTACCAAATGATTTCACTCATCTGTGGAGTATAAGAACTAAGTGAACACTGAAGGAACAAAACAGCAGCAGACTCACAGAACCCAAGAATGGACTAACAGTTACGAAAGGGAAAGTTACTGGGTAGGATGGGTGGGAAGGGAGGAATTAGGGGGGAAAATGGGGGCATTGCTATTAGCAGACATAATGTTGTGGGGGGTGCCCGGGGAGGGCTGTACAACACAGAGAAGACAAGTAGTGATTCTATGGCATCTTACTATGCTGATGGACAGTGACTGTAATGGGGTATGTTGCGGGGGAGAGCTTGGTGATGTGGGGAGTCTAGTAAATATAATGTTCCTCATGTAATTGTAGATTAATGATACCAAAATAAAATTTTAAAAAAGAGGTACTAAAAAAAAAATTTCATCTGAGACTGTCTTCTAGAAATAACCAAAGGCTGATTGAGCTGAGAATAAAGTTTCCCTATGGAATTCAATGTTATTTATCACCATGCCTCTTTACCACATACAATTTATTCAAATTCCTCCTAAAATCAATTCATGCCCCACCCCAGGCTTTGGGAAACAGCAGCAGACCTGTGTGGCCTTATGCCTGGCAAAACTTCATTTCTGAACAGTGTGAGGGGGCAAAGTTTACATTATGGAAAGTTGTAAAGGGGATTTAAGGATCTAGAAATGCAACTCCTTGAGTTGACATTTGATCTAGACCCAGAAAATAGGCTAAGGGATCAGGAGCTCCAGGTAATAAGAACTCTGCGATGGTTGCTTTCTAGAGATGCATCAAAGTCATGATGTATGGCTTTGAGAATGTTGATAAAGGTCATTGGAAGAAATACAAAATTCATACTAAGGGCATAGGAGGAGCACTGGTAATTGTGGAGAGGCACAGTCTGTAATAGACGAAGAGCCAATTTAGGTGACTAACATAATATCTGTCTCCCATTCTGAGCCTTCCTTTGCAGACCTTCTGGGAAACAAGTCAATTATTTGAGGTCCAAAGAGGAGGGGCTGTCAAGATGGAGAAGCTGCAGGACTCCTTTGTGGAGCCTTAAATTACAGAACCTGATTATGAGAAGTGATATCGTAAGATAAGATGCCTTTGTTGTAATATACATGAGACAGAACTGCCAGGCAACTTGGGTAGTTGAGGAGAGAGATTAACTAGAGTGGCTTTGGGGAGAGATGAAAGAAGGGGGTGACTTCTTTCTTTTTCTCCTGTACTCTTCACTCTTAGGCATTTTAGGAATGGGCTTTCAGTTAAAAGGTGAGATAAGGAGATACAAGGGGTCTCTATCTGTGTTCCACTGAAGTTAAATTATTCAGCAAAAATACCCATCACTTACAATATGCCAGTCACTGTGGTGGGCACCAGGTAGCCACAAATGAATGAGACAATCCGTGTTCTCAAAGTGTTCACGGTCTTGGTGGAGAGATGCTAGTAGTACAAAGTATAAAAATTGATATTATAGACCTGCCTAAGTTTGGTTCTGGCTCCATTTCTTTCTGCTTGTGCAAGTTACTTTACTTCTGTGCATCTCAATTTCTCCATCTGTAAAATGGAGAAATCAATAGTTCCTGTGCCACAGGGTTACTTGCAAGGCTGAAATGAGTTAATTCAGGTAGAGTACTTGGCATAAAACCTGGGATACCATAAGTACTCCATAACTCAAAACTATTATTATTGATATTTTTGTTAACAAAGTAAAAGGTGAAGTAGCATAGAGGAGGGAATAACTATATGAGCAGCGGAGGAGGCTTCCTTGAAGAGGTGCTGGTTTCTAGGATGAGCTTTAAAGATTGACTAGAAGTACTGCAGAGCCTACAAGGAGGGCAGGGCACTCCAGGCAGATGGTGCAGCACACATGCAAATGCACTCTCCCTTATTAGAAGCCATTAAGAGCATAAAGTGAGCCAGGGACATGATATGCAATAGGTTGTTTAAATTGTTTCACATAACCTGTTTCCATAGTTACAGCTGGGTGGAAACTTACAACTTCATCAACTTCCCAGTTTCTAAGCAGTGTCCTCAAATGTCAGTCTACAAGAGGATCACTCAAGGAATTAATGAATGAATGATGCGGATACCTGGGCTCCCATTCCAGATATTCTGTCTCAGAAGACCTGGTGTGAAGCCCAGAATCTGCTTTTCAAATAAGCACCCTAAGTCATTCTGTTGCCAATGATTTACCCCCTATACTTTGAGAAAGTCTATCCTAGGGTTCCAGCTCTCAATCTGAACAACACTCTTCTAGATCTATAATATGGTTCTAAAGTGAAGCCAAGGATGTGAGTGAGGAGAAAACAGAGTATAATCAAAACTGGCTTTGACTATCTATTGAGAACCATCGCTTTGAGGATCCACATACCACATCTAAGCTCTTAGCCCATCTTTCCTTCAGCATTGGAAATACTGTTTCTTCAGTTCATACTTGGCTTATGTAAGGGGCCCAGGATGTACAAGAAAATGCATTATTTCTAAAACAGTACAATTCACTAGAACATTCTGTCCCTTCACGAATACCACACAGTCTTGATCCCTGTAGGTACAAAGTCTACATATTGGGTAGACTGATTCCTCCTTCTTTATTCTTTTAAAAATCATTGTAACTATTTTAGGTCCATATGGAATTTAGAATGATCTTATCTATACCTATAAAAAATGTTACTTGGAATTTGGCAGGAATTGCATTGTTTGTTTATCAGTTTGGGAGAACTGGCATATTTATTATGCTAAGCCTTCCAATCCATGACCATGGTATATCTCACCATTATTTTACATTTGTTTGATTTATCAGTGTTATTCAATTTTCAGTGCAAGTTCTACACATATTTTGTTAGATTTGCTCCTAAGTATTTCATTTTTTTAATGAGCTATTGTCAATGGTGTTGTACTTAAAATTTTGGTGCCCATAAGTTTATTGATAGTATATAGAAAGGGCTTTTGAAAAACAAACAAAGGTCTTGGTCTCCAGGCCTACCCTCCCAGGGATTCTGATTCTCTTGTTCTA